ACTCCAGAGGCCCTGTCACCAGGGCCCCATTTGCGAAGGCGGCACCAGACAGGCTGTGGAAAACCAGCTTCACAGCTTTTGTCAAAGTGGCATAATAAAGCCCCTAAGTGTCTGCTCTTTGCAAACTGGGATGGCAGATCAATTGTGGCATAAACAAAATAGCAGGCTCGGTGTGAACCCGGGGACAGATCGCGCCTCTGCAGGGTGTGATCAGGAGGAGGAGGGAGTTCTCCGGGTGGCTGGGTTTGCCTTTTCTCTGGCTGAAGCTTCAAGGCCTCTCTCTCTCTCCAAAGCCAGCCTGGCTCCGCATAGATTACCAAAGCTTGGGGGACTGCTCCTCCGTTCTGGGAAGCATCTGGCTAGCAGCAGTGCCAGGCATGGACCCCACTGCCCTCAGCAAAAAGCCTGGCCCCAGGGTCTCAGCAGCCCCCAGAGCTCTGAGCATATTGGCATTGATGGGGATAGAGGGTAGACTGGCCTATCCCCATTATCTCCTAGCTGAGCTGACAGCATGGTCTGCAGGAAAACAAAGGGAGGGTGGGTGAAGCAGGCACAGGAGTCAGGCCTCAGGTGTCAGGGCAGTGAGAGGAATGTGTGCTGGGTACCCTCTGTGCTGACAGAGAACCTCCCGACCTGCCTGTCCCCTTTGTTCTGCGCAGACAGAGCCACCGCTGGTCAAGTATTTGTGTCATTTTGGGCCTGCAGTTGCAGCCATGAGGAGACCTCAGAGCAAGTTCTGGCCCAGCCTCTATGCAGGGCAAAGGGGAAAGCTGTGCCCTGGGGGTGAGCTGCTAGTACCAGGGGATGGGGGTCTGTATAAAACCAAAAAGGCATCCCAGATATTCTAGGTCTAGTTTTGCACCATAGAAAGTGTAAGTCATGGCCTTCACTGGCTGTGGTCAGGCAGGGGCAGTCCTGTGAGACCCCCAAGGGGCAGATGAGTGCCCTGCTGCGGGCAGCCAGCCAGACTCATAGCCAGAAGCAGTGGTTCCCTCTGCATCTTACTCCACCTGCTCCTGCCAAGCCCTGGGTCAGTCTGGTCTGAATAGCCCCGCTTGTTTTAGCTGTGCCTGGGAAGGGTGGGAAGCCCACGTTGGTGGGAACAGTCAGGAAGACACAGTGGCCCCTCTCCCCAGCAATGGTTATGAGGAGGACAGCCACAAGAGGACAGAGGACCCCTGGGGACAGGAGCCATGACTGTGGCTCAACCCTCTCCCCTCTGTGAAATTGTTCTTCTAGCTGTCTGCCCTTGGAGGACTGAAATATGGTTTTCCAAGAGAAATGGAGGCCCTGTGGTACTCTTGGGAGACAGTCTGGGGTGGTAGAAAGAACATGAACACCAGCAGACCTGGGTTTCAGACTCAGCTCCACAATTTCCAGGCTATGGGACCCTGACAACTACTAAGCCCCTCAATGCACCATTTCCTCATCTGTTACTTGGCGGTGTGCCTGCCTTGCAGGTCTTCGTGGAGATGAAGCGAGATGAGACTTGCAGGCTGGCACTGTTAGGCGGTGGGCCTTCACCACAGGGAGAGTAAATCCAGGTGGAACCAGTACATCAAATGTGCAGACACAGGAAATGATTTTGTCACCATCTATTGTCTTAAAGAATTGCCTTCTGGATTTCTTAACATCTTAGGTAGATGCTGGAGTTTTCCAAATTTTTTTTTTTTTTGAGTACCAGCAGTTTTTAAATTGAGACTCATTCTCAGCTGTCCAATCCAATCTAAATCTAATCTTCAAATTCACTTCTAATCAAAGCTCAGCCTCTCCCTCCTGCTCTGGCCTGGCCCTGCAGCTCAGGGATCTGAAGTGCAGGAGGGATAATCTGTTTGCTCTTCACCTTACATCACTGGTGGCTTTCTTAGCTTTGCTGGTGGAACTGCAATGCCCACTGTGAGGACAGACACACCATTTCATGGGTACCATTTATGGGCCTTTGGAGACCCCCACACACACCCAGGGACCACTGTCCTGCACCCTTCCCTTAGGGGGTGGTGCCCTTTCTGAGGTACCTCCTGTGACTGCCTCACCTGCTGTCCGCAGCCCTCTGCCCCTCAGCCTCTTATTGATAGAGCCCTCTCGAGCCAGCAGGCAGCCCTCCTGGACAGAGTCTCTTCAGATCTGGCTGCCTTCCACATGTCCACTTGACCCATGTCACTCCCACACACCCTTTGAACAGCAAGCCCTAGAAGCACAGACTGCTCCCCGTGCTGTCCTCTTCTGCCCCTACCTGCATGGGCTACTGCAGTCAGCCTACCCCCCAGAGAACTCTCCATTATAGCTTCAGACCCCAGGAGACACCTGTGCTCTCCCAGAACTCTCTCTATGCTCACCAGTGGCCCTCGTGGGCCTGCCAGTGTCTGTGGCCCAGCTAGCAACCCACCGGGAAGACAGCTGTCAGCTCTCCTTTAGCAGCCGCCTGTGGTTCTCTTGACTGCCCCTGTCCCCCTCACTTGGCCTGGGGTTGGGCGGAGGATGCCACAGCACCTTTACAGCAACTCTCCTACTTCATCATCATCTCCCATTACCCTTGGATAATTTTTAGCCTTTCCTTACAGACTAGTGGTGGGTGGTGGGGGCTGCTAGTCACTAGACCTGTTTTGCAGTGTTACCCAGCATAGATGTATCTAGAACTTCTTTTTAGAATGGGGGAATAACACATCACATGTCTTTCTTAGCTTGAAATTTTAGCTGAAAATCCTAAAGAACAGGAAAATCCCATTCAATAATCTCTTAGGCAAAGTATTAATTTTCCAGGTTTAGGATTTTCCATTCATTTGGGAATCTAACAAAGTGATTCCCCTACTAAAGGTGCTGTTTTCCCTCAATGAGTAGAAGCAGTGTTCGGTATAATGGTCTACGCACCAGGTCAGAAGCCAGGATACATGTGTTCCCAACAAGTCACGGCCCCTCTGCCCCTGTTCCTTCAGCTACACAGTGATGGGTAGATCAGAGTTAAGGTCCCTTACAGTTGTAAGTTGGGATTTTTTTAGGTTTTTCTTATTATTAAAGTACAAAAAAGTGCTCATGAAATACACAGCTTTGACATTATTATACAGCCAACACCATGTAACCACCACCCAGATCAACAGAACATTTCCAGCACCCCAGAGACCCACTGTGTCCCCTCCCATTCATTACCCCCCTGCCACCTCTAGAGGAAATCCCAATTTTGACTTTTATTAAAATCACTTCCCTGATTTTCCTTATAGTTTTACCAACCAATTATGTGTCCCTAAAAATATTAACATAGTTTGGTTTTGCCTGATTTTGAATTTTATATAAATGGAATAATACAGAGTGTATTCTTTTGTGTCAGACTTCTTCTAACATTCTTTTCGTGAGATTCACCCATGTTGTTGCAAATAGCTGTGGTTCATGCTTTTTCATTGCCAGATAGCATTCCCTTGTATGAATCGACCATGAGTTAGTTGCTAGACATTTGGGTTATCAATTTAGGACTTTTTATAAATACACACACACCAATACATATACTCCCACTCCACATACAGTCATATAGATTCAGAGCTGATTTCTTTATGAACTCAAGAAAATGAATTTGGCTTTGAAGTGTAGCAAAATCCATAAAACTCCTGGTTACACTTCCAGTATAGTTTTTTTCACTTTCTTGTGGCTTAATTCTGACTCTAGGGATATAATCCATCTTCCTCAACATAGGTATTGTCATAATATTTTCTCTTGAGTCATTAAGCATAAGATGAAGGCCATGGTCCTCCAGGGAATCTAGATTATGATTAGCATACAGATTTAAATAACTACTCTGAAAAAATATTTTCTCTGGCCTTTGTAAGGAAATATTAAGCCAAGTTATACGAAGTTCTTCTCTGCCCCCTTCCCAGAGCTGTCCCACCCCACTAGCAACCACAGGTAGCCCTCCTTAACTGAACTGAACAGGGATGCCCCTGAACTTTTGCTGCACAGATGTTGAATAGTGCCATGGTGCTCCTCAGACAGATGATCCATTTTCAGCTCAGACTCCAAGCAGTAGTGAATTTTCTTGCCAAGAGATTAAACCCCCTCTCATAACCAAATCAGGCAACCATGGGACCCACAAAGAATCCACAACTGACAGCAGGCTAAGAGACTGGGTTGGAGGGACACAGCTGCACTGCAGAGGATGGCTTGGGCCGAGCACAGTGGCCAGAGGCAAGTCTGCAGAAATCAGTTGAGAAGGAGTCTCCCTTAAAGACTGTGCTTTGCACAAGCAGGTAAATTAACTCTAAATTATGAGTTCAAAGAAATAAGCAGCTGCCCAGGTACAAAGCAGACCTCCAACACAAAAATGCCTGCAGACACTTTGCACACAGGACCCAGCTGGTCCAAAACCTTTCCCCTGGCCACAGTCTGAACAAGGGTGATGGTTGTTCTTGAGTGGGAAGGAGCTGACACCAAATGGCAGAGCCATGCTCACTCTCTCAAGGTTGTGGACTCTTCTCAAGCAAACCTTTTGTCAGTTTCATAAACCTCTTTGCAGAGACCATCAAATATAGCTACCTAGACTGAACACACTCCACCTGATCCCCAGAAATACCAGATAAAATGAAGCCTTTATGGAAGTCCGCCCTAAGGAGGCCCAGGTGTGCCACTTACCGGCTACATACAAACTAATTTGGGGACAGGAGAGCAGGTGACACTTGTCTACTATGTAGCTGTCTCTGGTTTGCACCTGTGCAGGGGTTTCTTTTCCAGCGTCTTTATGGGTCCCTCCTAGTGACCATCCTGACTCACCCAATTTTGATGTATAGGTCTCCAGGATGAGGGGCTATGTCTCCCCAACTTATGCGTTGTCAAGATCAGGAACCACATCTCACATCTAGTGCCACCAAGAGAGAAATGTCTAAGTACTATTTCCCCTCCACTGAGCGATGTCCCTCAGAATAGACGCCTTGTTGGCACCTGCATATACCTGGCACCCCACCTGGTAGGGACCAGCTGCCCAGCCAGGAATTTGCTGACCGTTGCTCTTGTCTCCACAGGTTTCGGCATGACCACCCCCGCGACAGTGGGTGGGAAGGCCTTCCTCATCGCCTACGGGCTCTTCGGCTGCGCCGGGACCATCCTGTTCTTCAACCTCTTCCTGGAGCGCATCATCTCGCTACTGGCCTTCATCATGCGCGCGTGCCGGGAGCGCCAGCTGCGCCGCAGCGGCCTGCTGCCTGCCACATTTCGCCGCGGCTCAGCGCTGTCGGAGGCCGACTGCCTGGCGGGCTGGAAGCCCTCGGTGTACCACGTGCTGCTGATCCTGGGCCTGTTCGCTGTGCTTCTGTCGTGCTGCGCCTCGGCCATGTACGCCAGCGTGGAAGGCTGGGACTACGTGGACTCGCTCTACTTCTGCTTCGTCACTTTCAGCACCATCGGCTTCGGGGACCTGGTGAGCAGCCAGCACGCAGCCTACCGGAACCAGGGGCTCTACCGCCTGGGCAACTTCCTCTTCATCCTGCTCGGCGTGTGCTGCATCTACTCGCTCTTCAATGTCATCTCCATCCTCATCAAGCAGGTGCTCAACTGGATGCTGCGCAAGCTGAGCTGCCGCTGCTGCGGGTGCTGCTGCCCGGCGCCCGGGGCCCCTCTGGCCCGGCGCAATGCCATCACCCCGGGCTCCCGGCTGCGCCGCCGCCTGGCTGCCCTGGGCGCCAACCCCACGGCACGCGATAGCGAGGCCGAGGGCCGCCGCCTGTCGGGCGAGCTCATCTCCATGCGCGACCTCACGGCCTCCAACAAGGTGTCGCTGGCGCTGCTGCAGAAGCAGCTGTCCGAGACGGCCAACGGCTACCCGCGCAGCGTCTGTGTCAACACGCGCCAGAACGGCTTCTCGGGCGGCGTGGGTGCGCTGGGCATCATGAACAACCGCCTGGCTGAGACCAGCGCCTCCAGGTAGACAGCCCGCCCTTCTGCCAGCCCGGCAGCGCCAGGGACCCTCACCAGGCTGGCGTGCCTCCGGCCGTGATTTGCTTTCCTTCTCTCAGACGCTGGCGCTTTCTTAATCTTTATCCAATAAAAAGAAACCAAAAAAAATTTTTTTAAAGAAATACTATTTGGCCAGGCCTGATGTTATCCAGGGCAGGTTTTGGGGGTGCCTGTTTTCCTTGTGGGCCCCCTCTTGAAGAACCGTGGCCCCAGCAGATTCTCTCCAGGGAGAGAAAAAGTGGTACCCTAGACCCTCACCCGGGGCATACCACAGACAGGAAAATGTCATACCTGGGTTTTGCAGACTGGCACTAAACCCTGTCCCCATGCACATAAGCAGCCAGCAATCCCAAAGCATATGGTGCAATTTTTTATGGTTCTGAATTACCTCCACAGCATTTAGAATCCTGGACCAGCCTAGCAGCTTCCTTCTGGTCGTCAGAAGTGATATAGTCACAGTTTTGACAGGTGGGGGTGGGGAGAGCCATATGTTGCCTACTGATGTGTATATATAGAACAGCCGCTACACACAGAGAATGGTGTAGTATTATGCAATATGAAACACAGCACCAACTTGCAGGCTATGGCATTTCCCTGAGATTTGGAAATTGCAATGGTAAGGGGCTTAGCTGGCCTTTCTCAGTCTGGAGTTAGTCCACTTAGCACAGCATTCAGGGCAGCTACTAAATTTTAAAGATGGAAATCTAGGGTGGCCTGCAGGGAGGAGGGCACTAGGGGTGCAGGAGCCCTGCCCTGCTCCAGCTGACTGATCTCTCAGACTTGGGGCACGTGCCTGAATCCCTCCTTACTTTCACCAGCACCATCCACAGGAATGCTCTTTGTTATTAACCAGGAATGTCTAAGTCCTCTCAGACAAGATTTTGCTTCTTTGATATGAATTTTTTTCTTAACTCCCATTGATCAATTCAACTTTTTCCCCTTTTAGAGAGCCTGAGGGTGCCAAGCACAGACTCTGGTACTCCCTCCCCTTCTCTGAATCAGGACTCTTCAGGCACACCCTTGGGGCACCACAGCCTGCAACACCAGGAACCCAAAGAAGCCCTTCTGCTAATATCAGAAAATTTGGCTCCAGAGCTCATAATGTTTTGGGGACACATCCATTCTAAACTTTGTTTGCTCCCACTGATAATCAAATAAATTTGCTTTCTCCATACATAGTCTACACTGAAGGCATAGAAAGGCAGGAGGAAGGGAGCTGGTGGAATGGGTGGATGGAAGCAATTTAGGATGAAAGTTTTGCTCTGGATGATCCTCAAGCTGAGGGACAGCTTCTCCCCAAGCAGCCCTCTCTGCACAGGGGTCACTGAGCTGGAGGAAGGCCAGATGCTGCCATTACTGAAAGGATGAGAGTCTTGGACTGTAAAGGAACAGTACTCTTTCGGCCCATTTTTCTCATCCAAAAAGATGACGATTCCAAGGACAAATGCCAGAGTCTAGTTATACATGGTGTGACCCACCAACATATACAGCTTCTGACAGGAAGTCTTAGAAAAGCACCAGGATGCCTCACTGTCTGCCTGAGAGGCATTGAAAGCCATGAAATCTCCCTCCTTGCCAGTAAAGAAAGCATATGTGCCTGAAACACACACACAGAGCATTAAGAGTCATGCTTAAATGTCAGCCTCCCCTTTCTCCTCCCTGTTCATGGAAGGAAGGAAAAAAGTCAGTTGAGATCTGAGTGACTCTCCAGCTACTTTAGGTAATTTCTAATTTGGGTTAGGATTGGTTTTTAAACACAGACCCTAATCTGGAGGTGAAGTTAGTGAGGCAGAGTGGCCAGGAGAAGGTCAAGTTTGCTAAATACTGAAGGGCAGGCTTCCAGAGAAACATACTTCCAGGATTCATTGTGACTGTCAGCCAGTTTGTGAGCACCCCGCTTCCCACCCTGGCTGAGTGATGCCTGCGGCCACACTCACAGAGGCACACAATGTCTAGGGTGGGGCCCTCTCACAGGACCTAGAAATAAAATGTCAGGTTTATCCCTTTAAAAGAAGGAACGATTAAAAGGCATCCAATTGCAGGTGTCGCCTAGGCCACGGGAAATAACTTGGGGACCTGAGCCTTCCAGAGGGGGAAGTAGAGCTCCCCATAATAGAAGCATCTAGATGGTGAGGACTGAATAGCAGGCAAAAGAGCAGCCAAGCCTGAGGAAGTGAGCCCCAAGAACAGCACAGGAGGCTTAAGAGCCAACTGTTGGTGAGGCTCCTTGTACTAGGCAGGCCAAAGAGGTGCCCAGGTGATGCCCAGACAGGAAGGCACCGAATCAAGTCTCCACAAGAGAGAACAAGACCTTTCTGCAGAGAAGAAAAACTCAAAACCTGCCTTGGCAAGTCTTCTCTGTCAGCAGCGCTTCCTAAAGTCTGTCCTAAATTGCTCGTACTGCAGCCCTGGCTATTCTCACTTATTCTGATATGCTTTGCTTTGGAAGGAGGCAATTGTGAGCAACTTCGGCAAGCTTCTGAAGGAACTATAAGCATGGTTCAAGGGCGCATCTTCCCTCTCACCAACCTCCCAGAGAACACCAGCCCTCCAGGGTAGCTCAGAAGCCAGTGGCACACATGTAGTTTTGCCCCCATTCCCCTGGCTTCAGTACATCATTGTCCTCAGTACCTCAGGCCAATGGGCTCAGTGCCGCAGATGCCAGGGACTGCTTTCCAGGCAAGCCAGGCTCCCAAGATCAGGGAGACTGGTGGAGCCTAGGCTCATGTATGAAGGGCTTGTGTGACATCCTGCTTGAAGGTGAGCACTGGAACCAGAACTACTTGACAACCAGGTATGGGGTTCTCAAATCATTTTGGAAACAATGATATTGATAGGGACTTTCTTCTTTGGTGCAGGTTCTTCTGAACTTCAGACTAAGAAGGGGGTCCATTCTTAGATGCTGTAGCCTCTGCCTCCAAGTGGGTATCTCTCTTCTGACCCACGGCTGCTAGCTCACTGCAGTCTCCTGCATCCCCAGGTTCTAGGAGTGGCTTTCTGACATTAGGCTAAACCTTGGAAAATTGCTGCTAAATTTACCCAGGCTCCTCCATCCCTCAGACATTCCTTCAAGTAGATGCCCTCTTCCTACATGCCATGGGGTAAGGAGGTGACTGAGCCCTCCTGGCCAAAGAAGCTTCTGGGGAACTGAGGTAGATAGCAGCCCACAGAGGCAGAGACCACAGGAGCTGTGAAGGTTCTGTCTTTCTGTAACTTTTTACATTCTTAACAAACAACAAGCACAATTCCACATGCACAGTGTCTGGGAAGCACCCAGACAGAGTGCTTAGGGCCCTTCTGAGCTTTGCTGCAGTGGTGGCTGTACAGCATGCCCACACTAGCCCACACATGACTCCATACACTGGGGTGGGAAGGATGTAAGGGCTGCGGAAACCTTTCCTTACCCAGGACGGGCTCATCAGCATGGACTCAGGGCCTGGACTCTTGCCCCTGGAGCAGCTCTGGCACCTTTGGGCACCACGTCCAAGGAGTCCATTATGTGTTGAGAGGTGATGAGGTTTCTGCACTAGCATGGCCTCAGAACCTCTCTCCTTTCTTTCAGCCTCTTCCCCCTCCTCCTGCTCCCTCGGGAAGCTCCCTGTTAATTTGCAAACCATTTTTTTATGCTCTGTGTTCTCTCAGGATGGGGGTTAGAGCATGTGGGGCCAGCCTGCAGAGTTTCTTAAACAATGCATTTATTTTTCTGAGCAGCCCTCCATGAGAGGAGTAGAAGGGTGTTTAAATTAACGATGAATAAAATAAATGTAGCCTGCCACCCCTTTGAGCTGTTTTCTTTCTGTCAGAGCCTCGTGCCTCCTCATCTCCCTGCTCACACCTCCTCTCAGGGGACCCCAGGAGACTTCAGCTTTGAGGATTGGGCCCCGGTGGCAGCTCCCTGGGGAAATTTCCTTTGCAAAACAACAGTGACATCCATCTGTACTGGAGGCACCAATGGATCTTGCAGGCTGCTTGACCAGAGCGTGCCAAGGTCAGTTTCTGATAGCCAGGGCTGGGTAGGGCAGGAGCATGGAGGAAGTGGGCACCGGGGCAGCTGGGAGATGGTGGCTATGCATCCAGCCCTGGCTGTGCGCAAGTCTCTCCAAAGGGAGCTTTAAGGTGCTGCCCAGGCCCCACCCACTTCCAACCCCAACCTAGAGATTCCGGTTTCGGGGTCTGAGGAGGAGCTCAGTCAGGTACTTGAATTTTTGGAAGCTTCTCAGGTGATTTTAATTAATGGGCAGCCAGGATCTTGAACCCCCCCTCTAAACACACAGCACTCACATTGTGGCAGAAAAAGCACCCATTTAGAAGACAGGTCTGAATTCCAGTTCTGCATCTGGTAATAACTGCTCAAATCCTCAGTTTCCCCAAATGCAAAGTGTCACCATTATAAGAGGCACTTCATGAAAGGGACCAGATAGTCCCTATTGTTTCTGCAGGGGGCCCCTTCTGTGGTGCTAGTTGGGGTAGAAGATTCCAACCAGATCATTGCTTCTGCCCCACGATGCCTTTGCAAAACGCTCCCTTTTAGTATCAACTTAATCACCATCATAAGAGTGTAGACTCAGCTGAGGCTTCCTTTCCCCTCTACTGCCCCCTCCCCAGTTTTCCTTTTCCTTCATGTTGCCCTAGGGAGAAGTAATTGACAGGTCACTCAAGTCTGGGCAGCCTAAATCTACAAATCACTCTCCTAGCTGCCCCCAACAGCAAAGGTGTCCTACAACTGTAGGGACATGCAGTGTACCAGTTTCCATTTTTGTTTGTTTTAATGCTGGTCAAAGCTATTGAATTGATTTCCTGACCTGCCAAAGAATCACAGCCAGCAGTCTGAAAAACACTGGAAAGAAATCTTCCGATTACACTGCTTCCAGATGTGACCCATCATTGGCTGTGGCAATGGCGCTGCCTGCATTCTACTCACTCATCAACCCTTTGTCTCTGGGTCTCGTGTCTCAGTCGTGTAGCAGCTCAGGCAGGAGTTCTAGCTGCATGAAGTGGCCTTACCTCCCTTTCAAGTTCTAAGGCCTGAGATTCCTATGATATTTTAGACCCCCCACCAGCCATCCCCTATGGACTGCCAACCCTCCCCTTCTACAGTCAGTTACCTTTCTGTGAGTATATCTGGTTTCCTAATGAGAAGAAAATGGAACTGACATTTACCAAGCCAGGTTCTTGGACAAGAGTTTTGCATATTATTTCACTATCCCCTATCAACTCTAGGAATTTGGTATTATCCCCCATTTTGTCCTGGTTATGGGGGTTAAGTACCTTGTCTAGTTACTAAACAGGCAGACCCCCATTATAGAGGCTGGAGAGACAAGGATGAGAAAACAGCACATCCCTCTCTGTCCATGAACTTTGGGCTCATGAGAGGCTGACAGTTCACAGGGCCTCACAAAACAGCAGGAGGGGTGTCCCTTGTCCATGGGCAGTCTGGGCTGCTGGGGGCACCCAGCCCACCCAGGGAAGTCGGGGAATGCCTCGGAGGCATGCTGTCCAAGCTGAGCTCAAAAGGAGACCTTGCAAGCCTGCTGACGGGGGGCAGGCTGAGGCCAAGTGGAAGGAGCCATGTGAGAAGATGGGAGAGGGGAAAATAGTGGGGGTCCCCTGGACTACAGCCTATAGAGTGCTGCCTTGATTGTAAGAAATGGAGTCTGGGCAAAGGAAATTGCATCCCTGGCCCCTTCCTACTCCATTTTGAAGGAAATGTTCACAGAAAGGATGCTGATGCAATTGCTAAAGGCTTAACCGGAAGGCAATGAACACCCAGCCAGGAGGGCTTGATTTTGCCCTACTCCTGCCTTTCTGTGACTGCAAGCAGGTCCTTCCCCTCACTAAGGCTCCTTTTCCATGTCAGGGAAATGAGGAGCTGGCCTTTGGGCTTCGTCACTCTGAGGCTCAGGAGAGCAGGGAAGCTGGGGATAAGCATAAGAGTTTATGAGGATTCCTATCAAGAGCCATACTTAACAAAGATCTGACAAGCGCCCGACTGAACATGGGCAAGCTGTGCCAGTTCTTTCTGCACAGGTTGGCTGAGCAGGGCCAGCCATATGGATGCAGGATGAAAGGAAAGGTGCCTCACTGAGGAAAGGCCAGCTTCCTGCTGAAAACTGCAGCTTCAACACATCTACCCAACCCTGGGAGAACCTTAGTGAGCTTCAGGTCATTGTTTTCATTTGTTTCTGCTTCCTCTAGGATAAATAAAGTACACTGGAAGTTTCTGCTTCCTCTAGGACAAATAAAGTCGTGCTATCTAATGCAATAGCCACACACAGCTCTTTAAATCAAGTGAAATTAACAATTCAGTTCAGCTGTACTGACCACACCTCCAGTGCTCAATAGCCACATATAGCTAATGGTGACTATACTGGACAGCACAGATATAGGACATTTCTGTCATTGCACTAAGGTCTATTACATCATGCTGCTCTAAAGAGAGCCCTGGGAGCAGAGTGCTAGAACTCCATGGAGGACCTGGGATGGGGAGTGGAAGCCCTTTCCAACCATCGTGCACCACTGTGGTCTCCTCCACCTCCAAGTGGCCTCCTCTCCCTTGTCCCCTGTGGAAAGCCTCTCCCAGCTGTGATTCACCATGGAGCATGCATTCCTCCCTGACACCCAGGGGCTCCCTTAGGACATCACACCAGTGTGAGTAACATCCCATGCTCTGTGGGCATCTCTCTGTAAAATGGGGGCTCCTCCCATCACAGCTGCTGATGTTGGGGTTATGGGTGGATCTCTTTGGGTCCTAATACATATACACATGCCTAGGCACACAAACAGTTCTATTAAAAGCCTGGTTCCAGGAATTGCTGCAAGGCATAAAGCAAACTTCATGGAGCTGTTGACTCAGACATTCACTGTGGAGTGCTCTGACAGAGGGAAACAAAGAAAGGAGTTCTTGCTTGCCTTGCAGATGGGTAAATGAGGCCCAGCCAGGAGAAGGTCATGTAGCAATTCAATAGCCCATTTCCAGCAGAAACCAGATACCTTTCCTGCCAGCCTACAGCACTGTCCAACCTGTTTGGTCTTGGGTTCATTCATTCAACAAACACATATGAGCACCTACTATGTACGGGCTCTGGGTTAGGCTCTAGGAGGTTGGAGTCAGTAAGACCTGAATTGGGCCTTCTATAGTTAGAGCTCAGACACAGTGGTAGGTGACCGTACAGGTAGAAACCTCCAGGGCTCAGAGATGTCCTGGAGAGGCTGCTTCAGAGCTGAGCCCCAAGCCAAGCTCTGGGTGGCACAATTCTTCACCCCAGTCCTAATCCTTTGACTCTCTGTGCCTTATCAATCCTCCACTTGGCAAAGAGTCAGGAACATTCTTTATCAAAACCTCAGCAGCCAGTTAACACCAGTTTATAGACCTCTTCCACCCATACTCCATCCTCTCTGCTCCTCCACTGAAAATTGCTCCATATCAGATGCTTAAAGTCCTTCTCATACCCGTGTCATAACATTGCTGAGTTTCCCTCAGTAGGTGCAAACCATTACAGTGATCATATCCATAGTTCGCTGCCTGCAGGTGAGCGCTTAGGGGTGTCAGATGGCCCATCAAAGTAGATTGTGGAGCCTCTGCTTTTGTCTGCCTAGGAGCTCTCCTGTCCCCTTCCTCTGGGAACCACATTTCTGTCCTCCTGTCCTTTTGGAAAACCCCACCGTATCTCCCTGTACCTCCTGTGTTCATTAGAATTGCATCCAGCTGCAGTTAACAGAAAACCCAACAGAGGGTAGCTTAACGAAATAGAAGAAAGGGTTTATTTGATTAAGATAAACAGAAGTCTGGAGGCAGGTGTGCAGGGCTGGTGCTGTGACACAGTGATGCCTGCAGTAAGGCTAGCTCCTCCTCTCTTCCCGCTGCCGTCCCTGGCATGTAGGCTTTGGTCCACACACTCGTCACCTCGGGTGCCAAGGGTTGCTACGCTCAATCTCACATCCATGCATCCAGCAGCAACAAGTAGGAAGTGTGATTTCCTGGTAAGGCTTTTCCCAGGCCTCCCTAAGGACTTTCTGCTGGCATCTCATTCACCAGAAGAGTGTCACATGGCCACCACTGCCTAGAGGGGAGGCGGAGAGACAGAACAATCCTTTCTACAAGAGGATGGCAAAGATGAGGGATTTGGGATGGTATGTGAGACCACCTACAGTACCTTTAGGTTGGACTAACCATGGTTCCACCTCCTCAAAGACACAGTCATTGGTCTAAGGGAGGGCATA